CCCATTGTTACAGATTACCCTGTTTGTTGTTAGCTCTTAACAAGGTGGCACTTATCTGTTCTAAATTTTATACTGTAGCATTTTTGGGAGACAGTATTGTGTTCTAATTGACACAGACATATTTACCAAATAGGCCCAGAATGCTGAGGTATAATACCTAGCACTTGGCTTGTATTTTAAATTTCAAAGTAAATGTTAAACAACAGTGCCAGGCTGCAAATCGTACTTCCCCCAAAGGGAAACCTATGGTATTGAATGATTCTCTCTCTTCTTAGGTGATGAACCACTGACAGATTTCTCTCTGCTAGCTGTATAGGTGTTAGAACAGCTGTTTCCTGAATCATAGGTCAAAGTACAGAATATTCTCAGCCATTTCCTGGTCACCTGCTTTCATCTTCTATGGTAACTTAAGCATCCACAACCCAGACAACTCCCTTTCCTCCAAGACCTTGGGAACTTGCATGACGCTTTGAAGACTATTTTACTATTCCCTATGTTTTAATGAAAGACAGGGGTGCACTGATAAGAGATTTTTTGGGCCGATACTGTTGGCCAATTTTTAAAGAGCCATATCGGCCAATACCGATCCAATTCCAATATGCAACCAGGCAGCGTGGAGACCAGCGTCAGGCTGGTAAGTCTGGTGTGGGGGGAGGGAAGGGGCATGGGGTGGGGGTGTAGACCGAGGCCCCCACGGTGACCACTCCTATGAGATTTGTACTGCAGGGTTGCATGTCTAACACTAAAAAATGTCTTATTTGAAATCCCATAAAAATCAACTACAGGACTATCTATGGAAAAACAGCCACGCCTGTTATAGGTGGGCTTCTTGGGGTAGGGAGCATGTCTTGTGTAGCACTAAGCACATAACTGGGATGTAAAATATTAACTCTTTTAGCCTGCCTCTGGTTCATCTCTATTCCTTCCCACTGCTGGAGAGTCCATCTCTTGTCATGCAGACTCCCAGTTTATTATGCTGAATTTTTATAAGGATCTGGGAATGTTGGAAGCTGTTCTTTCTTGCTCTGTCATTACAGAAGTTGGAGCATCAGTACATCCATCTGCACTTTATTCTCCCTGGTTGTGCTTCTGCTTATCTGCTGGAACAAACAAGGCACAACGAAGAAGCATAAGGCCATTAGCAGTTGACATAAGTCATGTTTTCTTGAATATAGCGTGCCTCAATGTAATATATGCATTCTTGTTTTTTTTAAAAGCAGCATGAAGAAAAAAATCTTACCTTGTAGTATGGATCAGTGACTGTCTCGCAGAAGCTAAAGAGCCAAGCCTGCTCCTGAGCCTGCTACCACCCCTGCATGCCAGCTCCTGGACTGTGCACTGAGTCCAGCTGCAGACTGACTGATCCAATGTGCTGGGTCTAAGGCCATGTCATCTGGCCAGGGTCCAGAAACGTGACTGCAGGAAAGTGAGGGCACCACTGATTGCTGTGCCATTAATACTGCCATTGCTCCCCTGCTGCCAAATTTCCAAGTGTGTGAGAGTTTGTATTTCTCACATACAGTGTGCATCCCAACTTCCCCTGGCTAGTTTTGGGGGAAAGGTGTGTTTTATATGAGAACATATGGTAAGTTTTAGTAGTTCTAAGCCTCGGAGCACTCTTTATCTTCAAAGTGCTTCATAAACAGGCTAATTAGATCTCAAAATCATATGACAATTAAAGACTCTTAGTCATCTTCAAAGAGGAAAATATGCACAAGTGACACTTTGACAGGTTGAGAGTGGGGAATAAACAGGTTTCAGTTTTATGACATGGCACAGGCTCAGCTTGTATTCTTGCCCTGTTTTGTGGCTAGGAAATAGAAACAAAAGACTAATGTAAAAATTCGGTTCTGTTCCCTAGAGCAGTACTCTGTTAACAAAAGACATGTGGAGCATAGAGAAAGGTGCCCTGCACTTGAGGATTTGTACTGCCTTCTTCCCTAGTCAGCCTGCCCATACCTGGTATGTTTCTACTTTTCACATGCGCAAACCTCAGATACCCCAACCGTGTACATGGCAGGACGCACTGCAGTTAGTATATTTAATAATCATCAACGTTGCCTTTGTTCTGTATTCCTATTTTGTTGAGCATGTTGCAATGAGAGAAAAGAAACAAATAAGAGAAAAAGGAGAAAGAGAACCAGACATGCATACAGAGAACCACGTGCACAAACACAAGAGAACCAGAACACACCCAGAACAGACACATATGCACAAACATCTGCAACCAGACACGTGTGCACACAAACACACAGAATCAGACAGAGGCAAAGGGATTAGAGCGGGTGGGAGTCAGGTGGGTTCAGCTGCTGCCAGCCACGAAGCCTGGGCTGCTCCCAGCAGGCGGCTGGGCGGCTGCAAGCCCTGCTGCAAGCAGACAGCTCCGTGGTTGGCAGCAGCTACCCAGAGCCTGGGCCAGTTGCAGCCAGGAGGCTGAAAACATCTGCTCCAGGCTCTGGCATCAGCTCTCTACCAGCAGGTGCATGCGTGCCACAGAGCAGGCAGTGGGGATAGGGCCTGAGGCAGCACAGCCCTCCCACTGGTATGGAGCTAACACTGGAGCCCAGAGCAGATGTTTGCAGCCTCCTGCTGCAACCGGCCCAGGCTTTGGGTAGCTACTGCCAACCACAGAGCCCAGATGAAACCTGCTGGCAGGAGCTGTGGCTATTCTATTTAGAATTCAGTTTCTTATGATGATAGAGACACTGGTAGGCTTCCAAATTGCTTTAACACTGTAGATATATCAATAAAACATTGCCCAACTGATCACTGTCTCTCACACTCTCTCTCTATATAGTGGTCTTTTGTTTCAATTGTGGAGGAACGTGGATTTTGGGGTATTTTACAGACTGACTTTGGGATTTTTTTATCGGGGATTTTTCAGTTTTCAAATAGGGAACATCAGAATTCCTGCTAGGGAGGCCAGTGGCAAGACCCTGCCTGCTCAGAGCTGGCACCTTGGACCCACCTGGAGGTGGCTGACCTCCTGGCCAAATGGGGCCAGGAGGACATGCTGTGACAGTTCAAAGCAGGCCACCACACTGGGAACATCTGGGTGATAGCTGCCCAGATGGCCAGACAGGGGGCACACATGGCAGTAGTGCTGCATGAAGCCCAACTCTGCAGCCACAGCCCACTGGGCAGATGCCTCTACTGGCTGTGCAGTCCCTATCTGGGTCTAGCAGGTGTGCAGCAGCCAGACAGCAGACCCCACTGCCAGACTGCTGCAGTGGGTAAAGGGTGCAGGGAACTCTCAGGGCTGCTTCAGCAGTCCAGCTGGCACAAGGAGTTGTGTCCCCAGGCACCACTTGGCTGGGGCCCAGAAGCTCCTGAGAGCAAGTAGCCCTGAGCTACTTGACAGGGCAGCTTTTTGTACTGATGGGGCCAGGACAGGGCAGCTTTTAATACTGCTGGGGACAGCATAGGTAGTGGCCCCGGGCTCCAGCTCCCCCTGGCTGCAGATCTGGGAGGAGCCAAACAGGGTTATTTTGCTGCAACTGGCACAATTTGCCCCACACTAAAAGCATATCCCAGCACGTGCACTGAGGCAAAAAGCCCCGGCTCAAATTTGCACCACTTCTATTTGAGCTGCTGCAAATGCACGTGCTTGTATGTGTGGACACACCCAATGAGACCACTGAATCCTGTTACAGTTTGACAAATCCTAACTCTTTATTCTGTCAGCCATTAATTCACCACCATTTGCAGTTTTGCAGCCTCCACAGAGTTAGGTTTGCCCACAGGGTCCTAGTATAGCTTCTGTTTAGTGCAACCTTGCAAGCAAAGCAACAAGAAACTGCTCCTCAATGACCCAAAGACACCTCCCCCCACAGCCATCCCCACCACACACCCCTCGCCTCCTGCCACTGCTCAGAAAAAGTTGGGCCAAGCAGTGTGGGCAGCAGCACCATGCTGTCTGCCTCCCCCCAGACTGTTCCCTATATCTCTCCCTGCCTGCAGCAACTAAACTGATTTGGGGTGAAGCTGGGGGGTCAGCAGGTACCAAAACACAAGTTTGCTCAGGGCACCATTTTCCCTAAGGCTGGGTCTGGTTAAAATGGGAGTTGGCACCATGTTAGAGCAGGAGCTGTTCTGCAAACTGCAAGCTCTTCCCTCTGTGTATATGTGTGTGTGTGTGTGTGTGTGTGTATATATATATATATATATATACACACACACACACACACACACACACACACACACACACACACATACATACACAATTTTTTTTTTACAATTGCAGTTTTTAAAATGCAGTTCATTTATTTTCCTTCCATACACATTCATTTTAAGATGATTCTACAAAAAGGACTCTGAATTGGGTGTAGAGTCATCTTAAAGTTAAAACTTTTAATAAATTATCTGTGTGTCAAATTGTTCTGTTTTTAAACTCAGAAGAGTCAGTCCATTTTTAAAAGGAAAAGTTTTTTTCCGTGACTAAATACATCTAACTGGATGAGCTGTAACTATACAAACTGAATCCTAATCCACAAGGATTCTTTAAGCATAAAATTAAGCTGTGATGACATCTCAGATCTCTTTGCCTCCATAAAATGAATAGAAAAGCCTCCTCAAAGTTACAAAAATCCAGGATGTAGTACCTTTATATGTAAAGTGTATTGCAGATGCTGATGTTTACACTGATTTAATTTTATGGGTCTGAGTTTTAAATTTAATCTTTTTTGATTAAATATCAAATATTTAAAAAAATAGATTAAATATCTGTAACAGGAAAAGCACTGACTCTGTTTCTAAGCACTTTAAGACGATACTTTTTAAAGAAAATAAGTATTTCAGAAATCTTTCTACTAAAAATATATTAAACTTGGTAAATAAGCAATGTATTCTAAAAAGTTAAAAAAATCTATTAAAGGTGTTGTAAGACAGGAGAAAATTATACTAACATTCCTGGTGATCATCTAAAAACAATATATAATTTTTTTTTAAGTTAGCATATTACATTAAGATTTTCAAAGGAAAAAGCTCAAATAAGTGCAGTTGATGAGCACAGTCAATATTTATTCAACATAAAGTAAAATGGAATTGCACTAATGTAAACATTTGTATTGTTAACATAAATATTAATTCAATACATTGAACCACTGTATAATGTAACATGGCACTGGATTTATGGCGATCAATTAACTGAAAAATATAGCTTACCAATGATGGATTTCTAAATCAATAAATACAGCTTTAAAACAGAGTTCACAATACAAAAGAATATAGCTTCAAACCAAAGAGTACATTCACACAGCAGCAACTCATTAAAAAAATATCAGCTTAAATATATGGAACTAGAATTAGTTTCACTACAGATCCCTTTTGAAACAAAAACACGTCTTTGATAACTAATTAAAGTTAGGGAATACATGCCAATTAACACAAAATACAGTAGCTGGTAAGTGAAATCAAATCCCTCAGCATAACTCTGTAAACATTACAATGGGATTTCCGTTCCTTCTTTAAGCCCCCTTCTTTTTTCTTCCAGTGTTTGTTTAAATAGTTTCCTCAGGGTGTTGTAAACATATGGTCCGTTTTCAGAATCCAAACTCATCTGGCAAAGGGGAGAAATTAAAACTAATTTCTTTAAATGAATGTCACATGGCTATTTTAAAAAGCAAAATGTACTTATTTTGAACTAGAAAATGTTTGTTTGTTTTTTCTTAACTCAGCACAGGTTTCAGCAACTTCTTTAACAAAGAATATATATATTTGTATACTGACTAGCTTATTTATGCCTAAAAGTAGGAAGGAGATAGTCAGACTATAGAATAATCATGGTTGGTTGCTGATCAAAGAGAGACCATGAACTACATATAATGATCTTCCTTTCATATTATCTGAATTCCTGTATTGGAGGACAGCAGCTCTGAACCGAGCAACACTGGAACTTCGAGTTAACTTGCCTCAAATAAAAACCCCCACACAACCTCTTTCTGTATGTGACTGAAGCCTCACTTTATCATCACTCTACAAAATTCCCTCTGCTAGGCCACAGTACCAGGAACATGGTGATGGAAAAGGTACCTACATTTTTTCCCTGTAGATTCCACTGAAGGTTATTTGAGAAGCACTTCAACAGGAATCAAGAAGATGAGTAATATGCATCCTAATATAAATTCTGACAAGTTGGGAATCTGATCTAAAATAGTGGAGCAGTGACTGAAATACTGTTCATGCATTTACTGAATAGCCAGCCTTCAAGTCTCAAGTGAAATTCTTCTGCAACCAGCTACAAGTATAGCCCAACCTCTAGTAATGTCAGCCCTAATTCTTAAAGATAGATTGTTTATTTGGTGCATCGGATACTTTATTAGCAGGGGTGCACCGATAAAGATTTTGGGCTGATACCAATGGCCAATTATTGACCAGCCATATCGGCCATAACAATCCGATTGCCGATACGCAGCCTAGCAGCTTGGAAAACAGCATCCAGCTGGTAAGTCGGGGCGGGGGGGAGGGCATGGGATAGGGGGCAGATGGTGGTCCCCGTGGTGAGGGAGGGAGTGGGGCTGGGGCAGGCACTGCCCAGCAGCAGTGGGGCAGGACACAGGACAGAGCTGGCAACTCGTCTGGGGAGCATGGCGGGGGGGGGGCTCCTGCCGCTGTGCACACCCCTGGGGTAGGCAAGGCAGGTATGTAACCCCCAGATCTGTGCAGAGGACAAGGGTGAGCTGTTCACTGCCTGCTTGGGGCCAGGGGCTGAGCTAGCCTCTTCCCAGAAGCTGTGCTTGAACTGGGTGGGAGTGGGACAGGCAGCAGCACTGGGAGGGGAGGCTACAGAGGGGCTATAGCCACCCCAAAATTCACCGTAGCCCCCCCTCCCAGCTCTGCCACTGGTGCCGCTTACCCCACCCCACCTGAGTGCAGCTGCTGGGAAGAGGCCAGCACAGCCCCCCAGCATGCAGTGGCAGCCCTCCCTCACCCTGTGCACAGATACTAGGGGGGCACATGCCCCCCCACCGCCTTCCCCGGGGTGTGCACAGCGGCAGCAGTGCCCTGCCCCACCCTGCTGTGCAGCACCTGCCCCAGCCCCACTCCCTCCTTCACTGCAGAGTCTTCTTTGCCCCCCACACACCACCTTCCCTCCCTCCCCCACACCTCTTTCCCATAACAGACTTACCACCCAGACGCTGGTCTCCAGGCTGCCAGGCTGTACTCCTGGCCACATACATGCTGCAGCTGCACATGTGCATGCGGCATTTAATCAGCAACATTATCAGCTACATCAGCCAAAAAATGCTGAATGCCGATAATGTCAATTTTCCTTTTATTGGTGCTGATACAATATGGACTGATGTATAGCTGCACCTCTACTTATCAGACTCCAAAACCTTTGTAAATCATTCTAGGGAAAAGGCTGATCTTTAGGGGCACCTATACACATGCCAGATGCCTGCTCCAACACGTACTAATTAGCACACGTTGGAGAAGACTCAATTAAATCAAGTCTGCTGGAGCATGCTAATTACTAAGCACAAAATTAGTGTGCTAAGTGTACTAAGCACTAATTAGTATGTTCCAGCAGCCTTGGTGTCGTGTATTCAGCATTCCTTCACTTCAAAATGGAAAAAGCAATAATAAATAGATCAGAAACAGATTTGATATGAAACTACTAAACAATGTTCAGTAAAAATATTTGACTCAGTTTCAGTAATTCCATCCTAAATGAATAATGTGTAAAGGCACGTGCCATCAAACTTGTATTTTAATACCTCAGCAATCTGAAATGACAGCCAGTGGGAGTGTAGCTTTTATGGAGAGAAAATAATCACACAGGTTCAAAAAGTACTTCTCATCAAGGACAGAAGCACTACATTTAAGGTTCAAGTAGGACAAGATCCTTCAACTAGAAACATGAATCAGTCTCTTCAGGAATCTTGATAAAATATGGTGGGGGAAAAAAGGCTGAATGATCTTCACTTGTGAATGATACAAAGATAGTAAACAAATGACCAACAGCATTGATGAAGAGCACTGAATATCTAAAACAACAAATAGTCTTTAACTGATTATCTATGATTCCAAAGGATGAATGCGTCTATGAAAAATGTGTATAACTAATACAAGAGCCTTTCTTTACATGTTAACCTTGTAGAGGCTTTTGTGCTATATCAAAACCTGTTGTTTTTTAATATTTTCTTTTTTTAAATCAGGAAAAAAATATAATCAGCCAATCTATATACCATCAGCTGTAGGGATGTCAGGTCCAGATGAAGTACTGGATTACGATTCTGTGGATGGTGCCTGGAATGTTGAATTGCAGCAGAAAAGGTTGACCACCAGACAGATGCATCAGTCCCAGGCTGACATGCCCAGGCTGGAGCTATCATTATCTGAGCTTTGTCTTGATATGTTTTTCTAAGGACTCTGGGGATTAATAGAGCAGGAAGAAAGCATGCACCACATCCTTTTCCTACCATCCTGGATTTACTACTTCTTGGGAGCACAATATGGAATACTTCTTGTTTTGTCTTGTAGAAAACAAGTCCAGTTCAGAAACACCTGAACCAGAATCAATTTTTAACTCCCATCTGTGGTGGACTATGATATCCTACTGAGATATTTCACCAACTTGTTCTAGACACCTGCCAGATGAAGTGCAATTAAGCTGAGTAAAAGTATAAGCCACTGCCCAGAGGAATTGCTTCCTGATGCAAAGGTAAACATCTTGCTCCATCTCATGTTTATATTGTGCTCTGTCCTCATACTGTCTACTAGGTGTTGATAGCTTGCAGGCTAGGCAAATAGGTCTGCATTCTGATATATTCATGTGTAATAGAAATTCCATCCAAAATCATAGACCTTAAATCTGGAAATTATCTAAATGAACATACCAGCCTGACTCTATCATGAGAATCTTAGAGCAAAATGGGTGTTGCCTAAAAAGTAAATAAATAAATAAATATATCAAAATACCTGTAAGTGTTAAAGACCACTGAAATACCACCACTGAAAAGCATTTGGTAAATATGCACTTTTGAAGTTGGGAAAAAAACAGATGGGGTAGGACTCTTTCCTAGTAATGACTACTGACCATGAAGTGAAGAAACTAACTGCTTTAAGATACAGCTTGATACATTTATGGATGGGAGGGCATGATAGGACAGGGGTGTTCTGGAAACAGTAAACAGTGCCTGCAAAATGTGGATTCCCTATGATCAGGTTAAAAGGAAATGTGGTATGTATGCGAGAGATGTTTTGGAAACCCATACTTCGGGGCCTCTGCTGGTCACCTGTAGAAGGAAGTACTATTTCCCCCACAATGATTGTTTTATTTGGCTTTTAGAGAGGCAGGAAACACGATGTTGTCATTTTCTGAAATACTGGATGTTGTTACAGCTGGACATGGGCAATCTGGCTGAGGTTTCTTGATGCTCCTTAGAAGTAGCTTTGTTCACACACAGAGGGTCAAAATGATGACCAGATTTATGGAGCTAGGCCAGCTCCCCCCTCTCCCTGCTGGTGCAGCCCAGCCCGGCTCCACAGAACCCTGCCAGCCTGTGTCCCACTTTGGGCCCCACCAGTGCTGGCCCTGGGACATTGGTCCCAAGATGGTGACTGGGAGGCGGGGCACCTGTCAAGGGGCAGGGTTACCCATGCGGCCCTCGACAGGCCTGCCAAAACTGGGTAAGTAGCCCTCTGCCCAAAATAATTGCCCACCCCTGTTCTAAAAGATCTTCCTTCATACAAAATTTATATTCCAGTTCCTGGTTAGATGGGTTAGCCATCTTAGATGGTTCTTTAGGAGAAATAGATCTGGCTAGATAAAGAGTAGGAAAATATTGAGGATTGCACCTTGACCAGTAAAGCCAAGACTACATCCCAGAAAAATACATATCATGACACACTGGTAGGAACCAAGCCATAGGATATCTGTGAGAAGTATGGGATCTGTGATGAGAAGGGCTTCTAAGTCTCTTTTAGGAACCAATCAAGACCACCAAGTAGAACATCTAAGAGAAAGACTTCTACTGTCATTACTAGGGGTGTGTGAAGTAGGCTGTATTCGATTCGATTCGGCCCGCTTCGGGGGACAGCAATTCAATTTGTTGATTTGGATCACTGCCCCAATTCGATTCAGCCGAATCTGAAGATTCGATGCTGATTCGGAGAATCAGCGATTCAACCATAGACACAGCTTTAAATGTTTTTTCTACGTGCCTTAAGGTACCAGGCGCGGCTCATGAACACTGAGATGGTGGGGCAGATGGAGTGTCCCACAGGAGCGCTGTTCCCCCCCCCACCCCCATGTGCTTGGCAGCAAACCCAGAAGTGGACCAGATGTACTTCCAGTCCAATTCCGGGTCTCCCCCCCGCTCGGTGAGTGGCCGTGGGGGGACCCCAGGTACCCCCCAGACCCAGGAGGCACCAGTCACCAAGCTGGGGAGCGGGGGGTCCCCCGTGTGCTCCATGACAGACCTGGAAGTGAACCAGAAGTCTTTCTGCTCCACTTCCAGGTCCACCACTGAGCACACTGGGGACCACCCCCCCACTCCTGTGGGATGCTCCATCCACCCCACCATCTCAGCACTCATGAGCCACCTGGTACCTTGAGATACGTAGAAAAAACATTTAAAGCTGTGTCTATGTCCGAACCATCAAATCTCTCCGAGTCGATTCAGAGGGTTCCAATTCAATTCAGAGAAGGGTCTCCTGATTCAGATTCTGAGATTCAGCTGCTGAATCGGGCTGAATCAAATCAGCAACTGAAGTTTTGCACAGCCCTAGTCCTAACACAGTAAAGATGCAGACAAGATACATTCTTCCAAAGACAGAGTGGATTCTCTAGACTTCTCTATGAGAAACATATATTAGTACTGAACATGATATTTTCAAGAACATTTGTATAGTCATTACTTTTTGGTCCCTGTGCTGGAGGGAATAGCATCCAGTAGATTTTGGAGAAATATCCAAGTAAGAAGATGAGACAGAAGTTGTAACAAAACCTATGCCAAGAGAAATAGTTACAGAAGCAAATGGATTCCAGCTCAATGGTACTGATGTGGATAAATGGGAGCTTCTTGGTAGGCAGTACACCAAGGAATCTCTCTCGGATGATATTAGTGCTAATGGCAGAAGAAGCAGCTTCAGTCATCAAAAACAAACAGCATGGCACCGAAGTAACAACAGATTCCAAAGTCTGTGAAGACTCACTGTGTCAGTCACATTTGAAAAGTACTAGCTTGGGGACTTGAAGTAATGAGTCTTAGATTCCTTGGGCAGTTATCAGTGTAAAACATGGCTGACAAGCTCTGTTCTACATACCCTGGGCAACAGTAATCTGAACAAACATTATAAAAGAAAGGCTTCAGCATGTTTAAGAACAGTAAGTCTTAGAGGAATTCCTCGATAAAGCCCAATAATGAATTGTGCTTGACTTGAATGATTACTTAAAACCAAGGGTAAGCAGGTCTTAATGGTGAAGATAATTATTCATTAGAATGTATGCTTTATGGCCAGTTTGAAATAATTTGGCTGTGCATTCACCTGTAGGAAAAGACCCAGTAACACAGAAATGAGGAGACCACAGAATTAAGATAAACTGCCCAAAGATACCGTTTTATTCCGCAAAAAGTCCATCATTTGGGCTCAGTACTTTTCCTAGGCCTTAACTACTATGAGAAAACTTAAACTCTAAAATATATAAATGTAAGCACAGTTATTATAAGGTGAAAATTTTAGCAGTTAGTTAAGACTATTGCTTCGTTCTTCACAATCTAACAAATAAGCACAATTCATGGACAAAATTACTACTTGCCTTTGTGAAAGCTTTAATGGCCCGAGCAAGTAAAGCTTCCTCCACATCAGCTGGTATCATCTGCAAATTCACTATACAATGTAAAATACAAAGAATAGTCTGATATTGTTCCTAGAGGGTAAAAGAAACAGCAAATTAGTAAAGGAAACATTTTCAAAGGGAACATTTTATTTTTTAAAGTACTCTAAGAACAGATAGGCCATCCTTGCATTAAAACTGCTGAGGGTAGGAGTCAAAGAAAGATATTGCTACAATATTCCACTTGGAGGGTTCTTACATGATTCTTTAGTCAAGATGGAGGAAGAATTTTCCTCACAGTTTCAACAGAACCATGATATCAAGGACACTTCTGGATATCACTCTTAGAATTCAGAGGGCGCATCTACACAAGATGCTTAATTCACAGTAGACTAATTCTACTGCATATTAGTGTGTCATGGCAAAAAACATGCTAATGCACAACAGAATTAGTCTACCAGGCATTAAGCATCACAAAAGGACTGTGCACCGTTGCTACTGTGCATTAGCATTGGCTACTGTGCTTTTATGTAGTACCTCATATTAGAGGTACTAAACTTAATATGCAGTAGCAACACCACATTAATGCACATGTAGACACGCCCAGAGATGAGTAAAATTTATTTTAACAGTAGTCCAATTAGTTTCCCTCTAAGGGCCAAGTAGCTATTTTATCTTCTATTCAGCAAAATACAGTGATGCAGTCTTGATGATCTCAGTTCAGGAGGAAGTTGGTATTTCAAAATACTGAATTGGGAAAGCCTGACTATCATGAAAAAGATAACTGCAAAGAAGGTAAGAACTGCCTACTGTCCAAGAATTACCTTCCTGAGTTCTCAGTAATACATTAAAACAAATTAAGATGCCCTCCTTTTTCATCATTAGAAAATCTAGACTACAAATTGTATAAGGAAATACAGGTTGTGAAAAGGAAGAATAGCTAAGATATACATATCCCTTTAAAGGATACTTAAATGACAAACCTTCAGAGCACAAGGACCTAACTCCTCATCTGGATTTGAGAACATGGACTGCTCTGATGTATGTAATGGAACTCAGCCAAGCTACTGAAGCATTATTAATTGGATGTGCCAGTTCCCCCTTCCATCCATGGCACCAACCCTCTCAGGGATCCTATTAGATGTTTACACAGCATTTTAAAGATGTAAAGAGCTATATATGGTAAATATTAAGCAGGATCCTGCCTTTTGCCTTCCTGAATTTTTACCCTACAATACCCTTAGCTGGTACACATGGACATCAGTTTCTTCAGAACAGGTTTCTAACATTTTATCCATTTCACCTTTTTCTATAGTAACTACTACCCTAGCATTAACACATTGATTACCACCCTTGCTGTGGATTACCAAGATATAGCTTTGCTTTTTATAATATATTTATAAATGCAATTTTTGTAATAGAAAGTTACCTTTAAAAGTGTAAAATTCTTGCCTAAGGGTCACCAATACAAAGCTTAATAAAAGTTAGCAAAACATGTTTTGCAGTAAGACAGTGAACTGACATGTACAGTATTTACCTTTTCTAGTAAGTTAAGTGTTGCCTGTGACTTTTTTGCCAACATATCCACATCCTCTTTGGATATAAGAGGTTCCTTCAGTTGCTCTATCCAGGACCACATCAATGTGCAAAGAATAAAAGGATCTCTCTCAGCACATATTTTATCCCAAGCTCCATCTCGAGAATTCAGCTCTTTCTAACAAAAAATAAAAATGCACTATCTATTTAAGTTTGCTAACATATGCTTTGCTTTTAACAGCATTTGGCTTCTTAAACACTTAGACAAGAGTTTATCAGCAATACAAATCTATTTCCACACCTTCCTGAATTGTCAACATTAACCAGCTCTTTAGACTAGAAGGACCACATGAATAGCACAGGTCTGCGCTTTTCTAATTATCTACTAGAATATATAAAGCAGCTTTTGATTCCTACTTCAAAGCTAATATGATTTGGTTTTGAGGATAAGCACTAAGTTCCTAAAAAATTCCTTTATACTTTTACACACAGAATTGTATGATTAGCTCTGAGAAATCTGTAATAAAAAGAGCTTGCAGACTTACTTTAACCTAAAGTTTTACTAAAAATCTGAAGTTCTTTCATGTTACCAACTGCAAAATGATGACCACAACTAATAGACTGATTTTTAATTAAACAAACACAACCACAAAAAAATGTTCGACTTTCCATTTAAAACTAAGATTGATATGTAGATTTTTAAAAACTATTCTGGCTTCAATCTGAGGCCTCCTACCATAAAATATTTCTATTACAGTGACCACCTTTTATGCTGCTTCTTAAATCTTAGATGACTTGCATAAGAAAATCTTTTTCAAATGCTTTAGATCAGTAGTCGGCAACCTTTTCTGGCAGCGGCCTGAAATGACTCAGTTTAAGTCTGAGGCGGGCTGGTGCTAGCATGTGCCCACTGCTGCTGCTGTCACTTCTCCCTGACACCCATCCATGGTACAGGCGAAGGCTCCTACCAACAAAGTTGCCCAGCTCCATGGGCCACAGGTTGCTGATCCCTGGTTTAGTTGTCCATGACCTATCATAAGACCTATGTTGAAGTCTAAGCCGTAATCTTTTGTTCTCTCAGGCAGATAAAGCACACTGTTCACTGCTAGGGAAAAAATACTTTTGCTATGTACAGCAGTCCACCTCTAGCTAATTTTTAACTGCACTGATGGAAAAATACTGTCCCTTGGCTCATAAATGCAACCTCGTACTTAACTAGCATATCATCTGTGTCCCACATGTAATGTCTAAGAGTCTTGGTGATTTCTCTCATTAGGTCAGTAGTGTTTTTAATACGGAATGGATTAAAATATACATGTAATACACATACACACAGTACTGAATAAAATTTAAAAACAGAATACCTGCCACATTTCTACTTTCTGCTTCAATTCGTCCTCTTCCACAAATTCATTTAAATTTGCAAGAGCTTTAGCTGCCAAAATTCTTCGTGCCTCCAGACTCAATTCTGATTGCAAAATAATGTGTGGAATTGTTTCTGATAGATCTTTGCTGTCTTGGCTTTCACATCCAAGAGAGCATTCTTCCTTAGAAGAACAATCGGAGTCCTCAGATGCACAAATTATTCTGCCATGTATATTAGTCTTTTGTTCTTCTTTGTGACCAGTGTCTTTGGCAAAATTACACTTTGGTGTTCTGGGGTCACTAGCATTGTGTACATATGTAAGACCTGCTGAAAAGGTTCTACTACGCTGTACTTCTTTTGGAGATTTTTTTCTATGATAAAGTGCAGATCCATCTTTTTGGATGGATCCATCCAAATTAAATTTACCTTGGCTCCAGAAAGTAAGTGTACTACGCACAAAAGCTTCTTTGTTTAAGTCCAGCTGAGGCTTTTGATTGCCTGCAGCAAAACAATGTTCCACATTGTTAGGCCGTTTAAGTTTGTTGCAGAGTAGTATTTGTGCAGGCACTGTCCATGGAGTTTCTCCCTGTTCGAAGAGAAATGCAGTTCTCCTCAAATCTGAGTCACTGTAACTTAGACGCCTTTTCAGATGAGTCAGAGGCTGAAGGCATTCAGCATTCCTTCTCTTCCAAAGAGGATCACATTCGTGTTCAAGTGAGAAAACGGAATCTTGGGTCTCAAAAGGATTATTTCTCACCGAGTGGGAGAATGAATCTGATGTATCACTGTCCTGTCTTGTTAACTCTTTATCTAGTTGTGTAGACAGCAACTGAGAAACGGTCTTTTCAATTTCAGCTGAGAGATCTGGTATGTCTAACAGTTCTTCCTCTATCACCTGCCTGTTTTCAGCCAAGTCCAAAAGAAGTTTGCAAACTAGATGAACAAGTTTTGGCACATGCTTGAGATGTCTACTCTCATAACCATGAAGCAGATGCCGCTGACGGATCAGGTACTGGGACAGAGTAACTGCATGTGCTTTGGGTTCACAGCAAGCAAAAACATTTCTCAGAGGGATCAAAAACTGAGTGAACTCTCTTACACACAATAACTGTCCTCTAGTTTGAATAGAATTAGGCCTTTTTGCCCGAACAAAAAGAATTGCTTGATCTGCAGTCATTCTTGTTGCAAAAACTAAGTAGCAAGCTACTAAAACACCTAGAAAATTTAAAAGACAAAGGATAAACATGTTTTTGTTTACTCATTCACTAAGATGCAATTTTTACGTTTCATTTCATAATGTGCTTCCTACGTGCCTGTTTGCACCTTTTTGGATAGCAGTAAATATATTGGTAAAAACTAGATGATCACTGATTTCTGTTGCATCAGATCTACTGTTTTAGTGGCAGGTTATTGATAAGGCTCACATGACTAACATTAACCCTTCTTGCATCTCCTTTCATTTTTGCTTCCCCTACCCCCACCTTTGCTATATCTTATTGTTCCACTATTGTTGCTAGCAGACCAAGATCTCCACTTCTTGGTACGTAGGGGAGGAATAGTTAACTTGACTCCCACTATTAACTTATCATAGAGTAGCAAAAATGCTATTATGTAAATGGTTTGGAAACGTAGTGCTTCAAAGACTGCCTTTATTTCTACGTGTCTCTGTGGAGCTGCAGGCTGATTCATGATTCAACTACAAAGGGCCAGAGGCAGTGCATTTTTAGTTGTGGGTACTCAATTCTGGAATTCACTTCTACCATTTTGCTACCAAAGCCTGAATTTATTAGCCTTCAAATCATGCTACAGACCTGCTCTTTTGTCCCCAGCCTCTTAGGGACAGGAAAAGAACAGCAAGTAACATCAGATGTTAGTTAAGAGCTACTAAGAGTGGATGAGAATGTCAGAATGTTTTGTTCCATTTTGAGTGTTTTTATCTAAATTTTGTCTCTGCACTCAGATTTCAAATTAATCAAAAGAAATAATGTCAAAGTGCATGAATATTAGACAATGTGGGGCAGGAATGAAAGACATTCATTCATTTCTATAAGGAAGGCCCTATTTTCATTAGTATACCTGAGAAAAGTATATTTTATCTAACAGATATATGCGAGTGCACAATGCATGCACACAATATGGAGGGATCATATTTCAAAGAAGTTATTACAAAGCAACATCTGGCTTCTTTGCTTTCCTTCTTGCCTTGAGTCTCTAGAATCCTCAGATGGCCTTTTTCCAGTTTGTAAGCCCTTGTTCTTTTTTCCTGCATATAACATACTTTGCACCTCAGATGTTAAGCTTAAGCTCTTTTCTGGCCCTGAGGATCAGAAGCTGCAGGTGCTTCACCGACCATTTTCCCTTACCTTGCTATGGGTCAGGTGTTGCTGTTACTCTGTGGATGTGAGGGGATTTTAAACAAATTGAAGCCAAAAAAAAGGATTTAAATAAATTAAGGAATGTAAAGGTAGTGGTTAAAAAATTAAACTTTTAAAATTCAACTAACATTAAGAATGCTAGTTTCTCTCTCAACAGCATTCCTATTAACCTTGTCATTTACAAACTTCTTTCCCCCCATAGGGAGCAATGGTGGCTACTACAGAGAAGGAGATAGGCAAAGAAACAAGTTTGGAAAGGAAACAGAAGTAATTCCATCTTGAAATATCTTCATAAAGTGCCAAAGCTCAAAGTTGCGGACTGAGAGAGCAAACACATACTAGCTGCATTCAAGAATGGAAAAGCACAAGGTGAATTGTTTCCTTAATCCGAGACTGTGGAATGGCAAATGTCTAGGTGAGAAAACTGTAGTTTCAATACAGCTGGGAGATAATTCTACAGAACAAAGTTTCTCTTAATTCTTGATCTGCTGTTTTGTTATCTTGCTGTATTTAACAGAATGACACAAAATGTTTACTTAATAGATATTAACAGTTTCATAGGCATACATCTCAGGACAGAAATTATACAGTTTAAAACAAACCTGTACTGGTTTATAATCTGATATTGTACCTTTTAGAAAAATGTTTAAATTCACTTATGCATCCAAAAGCATACCTGTTCGGCCAAGTCCTGCATGGCAATGAACGGCTACCCTCCCTTCCTGCAAGGCAAATGCCATCACTTTTACCATATCGAGTATAGTGGTAAGAGATGCCACACCATAATCTTTCCATCCAAAATTATAAAAATAAACTAAAAAAGAGAGAGAGAATTATTTTATACAGTGTAGAATTTTTTTGTGCATGCAGATGAGAAATTATATAATAAACAAAAATCCTGACAAAGTATAGAAATATCCCAGGAGGATCTACCTGTATATAATTTGTTTGAAATGGATTAGTTACACTTCAGAATAAGCTCACTAGGAAAGTTTTGAATGCCCCTGGAGTTAGTTGTTTCAGACTTTAGCTCAGCTGGAATGTAACAGGTATCACAAAACTGAATGATTCATACTAAAATTACTGAGCTATATATAGGAATAGTGTAACATTCTATTTTGGACATAATAGCATATCTTAACTTAATGGCTGTTTCCTAAGCAGATAACACTTCCCAACTCAGTGTAATGTGAGAGGGAAAAAAAAGACATACTGCCAATACAAAGAAATCAGTGTATTGAATTCTAATTGCAAAATATGAGTCATTTAAGTGTCTGAAATGTAGTTATATTCTATGTATGTCTTTACTCTCACTTTCCATTTAGCTTTTTTACCAGGCAGTTGAAGCAACATGGCTTCTCCAGTTTATACCCAATAACATGTCAGTGAGAGACCAATCCAAGACTCTGCTTACTAAGTTTCATTTTCTAATAGATCTGCTTTTGTGTAGTCCTCCTCATGTAACTTCTCTTGACTGAGAGAGCTCAGAGTCAGAATATCTGCAAGTATTGTCCTCAATAATTAATGAGGAACAGCAGCAGGAGTGAACTTACTTCCAGCTTCCATGAAAGCTTCAGGAAGGTAGGTGAAGCCACTCTCTTGCTCCAGTGGATTCCCGCAGCTAGCATGCTCCACAGGACGCTGAAGGTTAATTACTGTTTTTATGCCACATCTTAAGCAAGGAACAAATGAGTCACATTATTATATGCACCTAAAATTTCATTATCCCTTATTTTCTGAAACATATTTATTCTTTCTGCAGAATAAATCCTTACCTGTATATCTAAAATGAAAGGATCTTTACCAACAATCCAGATCTAAGTAGGAGGGAAAAATGGATCAGGGATACATCAGTGCTATTTATAGAAATTCATTACCAGTAAAGATCATTACCTTTCAAATTGCTCAATGATACTATATTTTTCAATGATTTCTGTTGAGGGACGAGCCATTGCCAATATGTTATCTGTTATCCTGAGAAAAGACATTCAGAACTTAGGAAAAATGATCTCATGGGTAATATTCTACCAAAATACAGACACTGTTTCCTTTTCAAGAAACTCTCTCTAACTAGCAATGTGCTTTTATACCTTTCTCTAAAAAATTCCATCAAATTAGAATAATAAAAACATACAGAATGGAAAATTGCTTTTTCATTATTAAAATAAAAAATATTATGGAAGATTAAATAATCTATTATGAACTCATTTTAAATATAGCTGTATTGACATTTCAGGAAGAAACATCTATGATCTAGAATATTTACATAATCTATAAATAGGTATTTTATTTTTGATCTGAGGCCAAACTCTTTGAACTTAATGGGAGGAATCCCTTTATGTGAGCCTTTATGGGCTACCAAACATTAACTGACATTTTATTGCAGTACATGGAGTATTTATCATGGCAGTATATATACTTAGTAGAAAATAGAATACAGGTCTGTGTTACTGTTATTTCATTATGTTTTATTTACTATAGATAATTTAAATAGAACTTATCATTGCATATTACCAAGAAGAGTAAAGCCCTTTAATAGCTTGCTCTTGGTCACTCCATCGAGCTGGATTTTCGTATTTACAAGCACGTCCACCACATGCCATTGAACACTGCATATGACCAGGAATTACATGGCGAAGGCGCTCCCCTACTTTAGTATATTTTGCAGTTGGGCGCATTGCACTTTCTACAACACATACAAAAAATAGAGTAAATAAGAAGGTTAACAAATGATAGTCACTATCCAAAACTTGAATCAGACCAACAACTTGATTAAATTGCAAAATGCACAAACATATGGACTGCATACTGAAGATCTTTTTTTCAATACAGACATAAAAAACCAGCAAAGATACGCAGTGAAATGAATACTCTTTCCTTCTCTTGTTGTTGATGTAATTTTTTTCTTACATCAACGTGTCTTCTTTCTTGAGGAAATTATAGGCATGTGGCATTCATCACAACACCACAAATATCATGGTCATCTTTTACCTAAATACAGAAGTGCTTATTATGTCTTCACAAATCTCATAGCACTGTCTTGTTTATTTGTTTTCTGTAACAAAGGTGTTAAACTGAAATGCTGTACAAATAAAAAATAAAACAGATTTAGTTCCTGAATAAAATACCAATTAAGGTAGTTTAGATATAATAAAACATTAACCATTATAAAAACTAGTAAAGTGTGTGTGTGTGTGTGTGTGTGCGCGCGCGCACATCTGCATGCATGTATTCACAGACCCCCCCATATGCCCTGTGTATCAAAACAACATTTTATATATATATATATATATATTTAGCCTATTATAAAATGCAACCATGATTTGTATTAAACAAAACTAAGTTAAAAATACTTTACTCTTTTTCTCAGGAAAAGTTGCATCCAGGTCTTCAGGGCTTAGGGATGAGATAGCCACCATAACCCTGTGTGTTGATGATGACAGTACCTCCACAACCGAGCTCCGGCGCCTTTGGATTATACGGAGAAGGGGATCGGAGCAAGAATGCCTCCGACCCTGAAAGAAGTTGCTAAAAATACTAACAGCTGAGCGCCGCCTGGGAGAGCCTTGCATGGCTGATTGCAATAGTTCACATATGCTGTAGAAGACTGAATGGATCTGAAATCCAACTTACTCAACGCTGAAGTTACACAGAGATGTGCATCTTTCCGTATGATCTAACAGCTATTCAGGATAGGCTGAGCAGTTTCCATAGTAACAAACAATGAAGCCACTGATGCCAGCTACCCCTGTGGCAGCTAAATTCTATATGAATTGATTCTGTTTGGGACAAACTGTCCACAGCTGATGAAAATAGTTACATTTCAAGTAGATAATTTTGGAAATTGATGGAAATGACCAAAATATTTTGCATAAATAAACAAAGAATTTGAGTGCATAGTAAATGCTGCATCTTTAAAATATATTAGTACATAGCATATGACACAGAAGTAAAGCAATCAAAGTGCAGTCTGGGGCCCTGCTCTCCTAGAAATCTGTAAGTAAATACACTGTACTCCCCCACTTCTCAGTTTGACATTCCACTACCTCCGCTTTCCCTCCACGCAGCAGCTCCAAAATGCATCATTAGTTTAGTAATGATTGAGATTAGTGTGTTCCTATTGAAATGGTTCAGTACATGATGAATTGTAGACTGCTCACTCTGGACCATTCATATCCACTAACAAAACACAATTTGTTATTGAAAACAAGAGGTTTATTTTTTCAGAGCAAAGCTTTTGATTAACCAAAGCTTTTAGCTGTACTGGGCTGAGGTAAGGCAAAATATTGGGTGGAGCTGCCATCTCATTTTGAAGCTCTAGCTTTGAGGGCTATGCATTGGGCTATAAGCTGCTTCCTCACTTGCTTCCATCCTAAGAGGGTAATTAACTTAGCCAAAAAAAAACAATTTTATCAAAAGCACAGGAACTGTTATGGGTTTTGCCCCTGCCTGAGGCAACGACTATAAAAATATTTAAACAATATCATCATCTCATCAGCTGTATATTAAAGTGCATGTTATAGATACTAACAGGCAAGTGAAGAAAATCAGTATAGCACTGCCTAATGCATAGAGTTATTCCTGTTATCCTTTATTAGGGTCATGTATTGCCCTCAGGGCATATGATTCTCATTTAACATCATTAGGACTTACATATATGTAACAAAAGCAGTTAGTAGCTCTTGGAGTAGAATTTGCATGAAAAAACCCCCTGCTAAATAAAAGGTGACTTTTTGCTTTTGAAAAATATTCAGGACATAACTTATTGGGGGTTTTTTTTAATCATAGGCTGAAAGTGAATTCCTGAATACAGAAAACAAATGTCACTTGGCTATTGAGGACACAAGGACAGGTCTGCTGAAGATGACAGCCTCTGCAGTGGTGATAGAAAGTAAGAAAAGCTGCTTGCCCTGACTGTTGTTGCTGGTGGTGCCCAACAGTCTCTATTATATTGGCTCAACCCTAATGCTGATGTCAGGAGGGAGAAGAAATCTTCTTATCTGGGTGTTAGAGGTCAGGGGGTGGGGATCAGGGTGGAGGGGGCAAGAGGGTATAGAGCCAAAATACTGGCTACATCCAGTGAATTTAAGTAACTTTTCAAAATCGATCATTTTGCTTCCTTAGATTTAATTGTGTCTCCTTAATATTCTGTGAGATTTTTCTTCTGTATTTATTAAAATCTAGGGAGTTAGATAGCAAAGCCAAGACCTGGTAAAATTGATGTAGACAAAGGATATGATCCTGTCATCATTCACCCATTAGCTTTAGTAGGATTTGGAGGTACTCAGCTGAAAGGATGAGAGTCATAATATAATGGTTAACCCCATAACAATGATTATTGTTTTTTGTAGCCCATCACATTGTACTGGCACTTTCTGAACACAAAGTACAGTTCATTTCTTGCCTCTAAAAGCTTACCTTCTGACAAACCAGAAATGGCACATAAATCAAATTGCATAAAGTGAACCCACTTTATAATGTAACAAATAGGGATAGGTTCCCATGGCTGTGAGGGAGGGAGGCTGGGACCAGGGAAAGGGCAGCTGCGCCAAGTGCCGGGAACAACCCAGTGCCGCTGCCAGGCCCCATCCTGCTGTTGTCCCACGTGCAGATCTGGGGGCACAGCCCCCCAGCCCTCCCAGGAGGCGTGGAGCAGCAAGAGGCATGTTGCTGCCCCCCTCCCCCCCCACTTGCACTCACTAATGATTCCCTCTGCAGCTGGCACCGGCCATTTCCTGGACTGCTGCAACAGTGGCTGGGGTGAGTGAGGCCTCGGCCCCACAGCCCTTTCCCCTCCCTGCATAGACTTACCTGCTTGGGCAGGGGGTGCCTATGGGGATTACATAAGAGTGAATTTACCTCTCATATAATGAATTATGGGTCTAAAAATGCTCAATGCATAAGAGCGAATTCGCATACACAGAACCCTCATAAATGAAGGGAAACCTGTACAGGGAAACATTTGTATTGTATATACATTTTCACCAAAAGTTAGCCACCATAGATCTATTTTGCTTTTTTTCTTTGAATCTATTTCCTTTGTAAAAACAAAACAGAAAAAAAAAATCACCTAAATTCTCTTTAAAAAGACATATTAGAGAAAATGATTACCTGAACTCATACTTGCAAGATATGCACTGCTCTTTAACAGGGAAGAGTAAGGTAACTGATTTTGCAGCAAGACTCCTGCAGCCATTGCAGGACCTGTTGAAACAGTAACGTATTTACTGTACATGCAGAGACTCAAGACATTCACTGAAAGAAAGCAATCTACTCTTTATAAAACTACAATTGAGTACCAGCACACAGTATGGAGGTTTTTGACAGCTAGGCATTAGCACTAAGTGTAGCATTAGCACCTTTGGTGTAATCATTAGCGTGACCTAATCATTGGAGTCATTTTAAACTATAGAAAGCTTGTCCCAGCAACCTTTCTGCATACTTTTTGAAAAGATGACCATGTATGTGAGATTATACATAGCATACCTGCAGGCATCTGCATGCATAAAATTAATCACTATAATTATGAATATAAAGCACGTGTTAACCCTTCCCCCATTTTTGTACATGTTGGAAGCCAAGGAAATTTTCTTTGGGGAATACTACTCTATTAGAAGCTGGAATCTGAGTCTTTGACCATGTAAGAAGCTTTAGGGGTTTTTTTAGTATAATTTAAATTGTCAATTGAAACTCCCAGATCAGATATAACATTTGAAGAATTTCAAATGCCTCTGAAACACTTCAAAGAGCCACATGTACAGACATTCCAAAAGCAGCTGAAGCACTCTAAAACAGTAATTCTGGATATGAGGTACTATTTTGAGGCACTTCACTCCTACTACTACTACGGCTGTCTGCACAGTGATAGGGGACCCACAGGTTTTTCAGAATCCCACAGCACTCTGCTTTCCCCTGTTCCCCCACCTCCAGAAGGGGTGGAGGGGGAGTGGGATGGACAGGCTGATGGGCTGACTGAAGGTCTGCCGGACCATGCAGCTACAGAGTCCTGCTCCCAGCCACTCTGTCACTCAGGCACTTTCAGGTCCTAGGATCCTCCTGGCACTGGGGCACTGTCAAGTCCTTGGGTGCTCCTGGTGCTGGAACACTAAGTGGGGGACCGCACACTCCATGCCAAGATTCCTGCACACTGCACCTGCCACCAAAACTGGAACTCTGGCTCTTCAGGCCCCAATTTCTTCTATCTTTCTGGTCTCTGGTAAGAAGGGAGGACAAGAGTTTTTGGGGCTTAGATGCTGGAAAGCTGGAATCCAAGCAGTAGGATAGCCCCGCTGCCACCACAGATCCCCATGCCCCACCACTTCCCTTCCACCAGACCACTGCTTGCCCTTGCTCCCAGACCTCCACACCCCATTGTGGCAGTGCACCTTTGGGTGCCTGCCACTTTAAGGGCAGAGGCAGGCAGCTACCAGGTGCCTGATGAGGGCAGCCATTTTGGGAACACTAGGTATGTAAAGGCTGTAGTTTGCTGCTGCCAGCCCAGGCAGAAACATCACCTGGTTGAGTGGCATGGAACATCTCGAGGTAAGAGCAAGTAGCTCTTGGTCCTGGGCATGACCTAAAACTGTACCCTGCCAGGGAAGGGTGGCTTGGTGGGGCTCCTGGTGGCATGGGAGCCCCCAGGAAGTGCCAGGCTAGTTACCTCCCTGGTGAAAGGCAGGTAGGGGTGCCTTAACCCCAGCCCCCCCTGCCCCCCATCTGATGGGTAATTCTGAAAGCTGGGGGAGCAGGGGGGCAGGTATGCCCACATGTAGGTGCCTGAGCCCAGCAGGGATGCTGATCCTGGAGACCCCAGAGAGGCTAGTGTGTAGAGCTGTGGCAGTAGGTCTGAAGGGCTGTGTGTGTGAGGGGGCTGAGTAGGGCTGAAATGCAAGCAGGCCTGAAGGACAGTCCTAGGGGTGAGCTGAGTAGAGATGAATGGGAGTAAGCCTGAAGGCCAGTGCAAGGGCCAGCCCCATAAGAAGTTGATTTCAAGCATGAGACAGAGACCTCACAGTGGGGCATAGTGTTGAGTTGCCAGATGAGGGGCTTGGGGCAGAATTAGCCCAGGGTTCAGCACAAGGCCAGAACCACGCAGAGTAGGGGACCTCACAGGAACCAAAGGACTGTGTGGCGAGGCCAGTATGTGAGTAGCAAAGCCTGAGGGCCCAAGAGGGACTGCTCAAGGAGGAGCAAGGACAGTGGAGTGTGACCCAGTAATGGGCGGTATACCAGAGGCCCCAATGAGAGAGGGGTGGAGTGTAAGAGGCCTCCTGTGAGAGAGGAGGTGGTATGAATGTATGGGTGAGTGGAGCCCAACTTTGGACTCGGTTTGCTCCAGTCTCAGACAGGGAGGCAATACTAATCTGGGTGCCATCTGTGAGGCATGAGCTACAGTGTAGGGAGCATGGGCTGTGGTGTAGGGGAGGTGGCTGCAGATAACGCCCCCTGACATTGGGGCAGTAATGGGCAGCCTCATGCATTATACCAACAGTTTATAGAACAGCCAGTCATGGCAGGCAAGACTGGGTGAACTGCCCCAGAGAGACAGGTGGGCGGGCTGGCATGAGAACCGGCCTCAGGTCTGCCCCCTGTCACACCCATCTGTTGCTGGGGGACTATTTCTGTCCAGCTTCCACACACCACATGGTTGTATATATGTCCAACAACTGAAAGGCTACGTTTTAAAATGTTTCTAAGCTTGTTGTACTTGGAAACATTTCAAATGTTACATTTGTTCACACCATGATCAGTTTTGTTAACTTAATCAGGTTAAACCAAATTAATTGCTCTAATCGGTATTTAGCTTAGAATGTTCCTGCTTCTTTCTCAGACCTAAGGAAGGGCATTTGGGGCCAAAAAGCTTATCTTAATATCTTTTCCAACTATAGAGTTGGTCCAGTAAAACATATCATCAAACCAATCCTACTGCTAAAACTTCCATGCCAGACAAGTATTAAGTCTCCAATTCTGTAACATTGTTGCTAAGCTTCAGTAGCATTAACCAGATAGCTTTGAGGTACATTTTGCATAAACAAAGCAAGAAATGAGTTGCTAAAGTGGCTGCGGGGGGAGGGGGGGATGATATGATGTAGCAGTTCTAGCCTTTATTTTTATAAAGTGTTAACTGCTTCTTGTTCCTTTAACTTAAGTATAATTTTGTATAATTCTTTTTAAATCATTTGTTACATATTCAATGTCATTTTGTCAGTTCAGATATCACATTATGTGAGCTCATGTGGGAATGGGTCAGAAATAAATCAAATAAAGACAATGAACCTATTTCTCATTTACTGGTATATTAGCCACTTTTCAGTGCTCTAACATTGTTGAGGGGCTGGAAAGCAGGCAAAAATTACAGACATTCATTTTTAAGTCCACATTATATTAGCTGTGTAGTATAAAGTGGCCTCAGAATATCAGGCCTGATGAAACTATGTAAAAGCGGAAATACTTTTAAAAACAAGGGACTTTTTAAAATCTAAGAGCAAGAAATACATTATAATGTAAAAAAACAACAACCAGGATTACCTACATCTACAGCATTTCCTTATTTTCTGTATAGAAGCCAATTTCTTTATCAAAGGAGTAGTAACCCCTATAATTACATAATCTCAAATTCCATTCTAAAAGATTTTTCTAAGAACTGTAACACCTCATCCTCTGTCTTCAAAATGCCTTTGAAATTTTGTAGGGGAAGCTTCCAAGCTATAGTGCTTTTATTTTGTTCCAGAAAAGATCCATTTGTATGTAGCAGAATTATGAACTAGTAAAAATTGCCCTTTTCCATCTTTCCCTTGCATTCCTTGAGGGAAACACTGGAAGCCTGCCAAAACCATTACAGAATGCACAAACACAATAGAGTATGCTTTTCATCATCCAGGCAGCATCATGCATGCCCTGCAAGTGCTTGGGAGCTGCCAAAGAAGCTGCACTCGTAGGAGGTAAAGAAAGGGAAAGA